GGTGCTGGTGCTGGTGCCGGTGCTGGTGCTGGTGCCGGTGCCGGTGCCGGTGCTGGTGCTGGTGCTGGTGCTGGTGCTGGTGCTGGTGCTGGTGCTGGTGCTGGTGGAGAAGGAGTGGTGGTGATAGTTGTAGTGACGACCACGACAGGCCGGGGGTAATGAGGATTCTTACATTGGGGACTATCTTGACGCGAGTCAGTGTTTATTGCTGCCCTTTCCGAATCTGCAATGTGTCCATTACCCTCCTTGCTGATTTTGTTGCAACCTCGTACGGCCGCTTGCCACTATTAGCCTTGTTGCTTCCAGTGCCGTTCGAAAGCAAACAACCGCAAGTAAGCGGCAGTGCCACTGGTGGTCGTCGTCGCTGTCGTCCTCGTCGTCGTCGCCCTTGTCGTAGGAGCAAGCAGGTGGTCATTAATAATCAGGGTATGCTGGGCCGCTACGAGGAAAAGTGGTGAGCAGCCCTTGCAGGAACTCCTCGTCGTCGTCGCCGTGCGGTCGTGCGTTCGAGTGTGCGGAAAAGGATCAGACCCATTGAAGGATCCACAAAGGCCATTGGAAACTAGCTTCCATTTCAAGAGGGGCTGTATAGGGTTCGATTGCTGCAGGGAAAATGCCTGTTACCGCCACCCTCTCCGGTGTCTGCAAACTGCTCCGAATAGTAGGGCTTTGGGTGGTTATGATACGGAACCCACAGGAATAGCATCGGGGCCTATTTTGGGACATATCATGCTATACTTACATATGAGAAGGAGCCCTGAACAATATTAACATTGGGGCCATAAGCTAGAATAGGGTGCTGGGACATGTTGCGCTACACTTATGATAAAGAACGCAAAGGAATAACATCGGGGCCGAATGGGGTTTTGCACCAGATTACACTATGCTTGTGAAAAGGAACCCCGAGAAGAAAAGCATTGGGGCCTGAAGTTAGGATAGGGGTCTGGGGATATATAACACTATGACTATGATAACGAGCCCTAAATCATAATATACGTAATGATAAGGTTCGATGTGCAGCCATGCCTGCGTCAGCATGTAAGGACCGGCTACGTTCACGATCACGTGGGCGCTCCGGCACCTAGTCGCACATCATTAAAGTCGAAATTTTAGGTTTTCGGGTCTACAGTTTAGGCTTTAGGGGTTTCGGGTTCAAGATAATCCGGCAGCCCTGAACCTCAAAACCGAAACCCTGAGAAGCAGATTTGAAAAGTAACCCCCTCTTAGCCCGAGAGCAGGAAACATGAACCCTCCACACCGAATTCTCCGAAATCCAAACCCCAGATCTACAAAGCCAGAGGCTGCGACAGTTCAAGCAAACCACTTATCACGCTCTAAAGCTGAACCGTTGACACTTAACCTCTACTCGGAGGATCATGCGCAGTAGTTTGTCGGGTTAGATGTACCGTATCTAGGGTTGTAAGTTGTATACGCAAACATGGCTATAGATCCCTTGCTTATAACCCTACCTGCTAAACCCCTAACTCCTAAACCCTAAACCCCGAAACCCAAAACCCGAAACCCCTAAACCCCAAAACCCTAAACCCCTGAACCCTAAACTCCTAAACCCCTAAATCCTACCCCTAAACCCCTAAACCCTAAACCCTTAAAGCCTAAACCCTAAACCCCTAATGTCCCTAATTCCTAAACCCCTAAACCCCTAAATCCTACCCCCCAAAACCCTAAACCCCTAAACCCCTAAATCCTACAACCCCAATGTCCCTAAACCCCTAGAAACCCCTAAAGTCTCAAGCCCCGCTCTTCGGCCCAGGCCGGGGTAGCTGTTTAGGGTTTAGAGTTTAAGGTTTTGGGTTTAGGGTTTAGGGTTTAGAGTGTTGGGTCTTGGGTTTAGGGTTTAGGGTTTAGGTTGCTTGGGCTCAGGGCAGTAAAAACTCGGGGTCTCGGGTTCAGAGTTTCCTTGGTTTAGGTGATTTGGGTTCAGGGTTTAGGGTTTAGGGTTTGGGGTTTAGGGTTTGGGGTTTAGGGTTTAGGGTTTAGGGTTCAGGGTTTAGGGTTTAGGGTTTAGGGTTTAAGGCTTAAGGTTTATGGCTTGGGGTTTAAGGTTGGAGCGTCGGAGGACTTAGTAAGTAGTTCTTTGACTGAGTTAGAAGTATCATGGCCCCAATTACGATCCCATTTAAGGGTCTGATAGCCCTCCGACCCTCCAAATAGGAGAGGAGACAGTTTGTTGCTATCTTTTCGTGTTCTGATGAATAACCCTATTTTCTAAATCCTAGTCCGCCATATCGATGCCTAAGCGCAACACCCACATCCCTGGGCATACCCCGAGAGCCCAACACCAGCCTGTTAAGAAACCACATACGCAGCGCAAATCTACAAGCTGAGGGGATCTTCCTTATTTCGGTGCCTGGAAGACTTAGTTAGTAGGTACTACGCGGAGTTATAAGTACCCTAAACGGGATCCCCATCGGGATTATGATACGTACATGGACATCTCTCTACAAGAGTTACTTGCTAAGTTTCCCAACAGGTACCCTCCGGGAAGAAACCGAACCCAAGATCTGATGAAGCCTAAACTCTAAACCCCTAAACCCCACACCCCTAAACCCCTAAACCCCTAAACCCGAAACCCTGAACCCCTAAACCCCTGAACCCTAAACCCTAAAGCCCTAGAGCCCTAAACCCCTAAACCCCTAAACCCCTAAACCCCTAAAACGGGAACTCAAGGACTGAGTTGGACTGTTGAAAGGATGCAGCAATTCGAACCCCCAAACGAGTTTAGGGTTTAGGGGTTTAGGGGTTTAGGGTTTAGGGTTTGGGGTTGAGAGTTTAGGGTTTCGGGTTTAGGGTTTAGGGTTTAGGGGTTTAGGGGTTTAGGGTTTAGGGCTTGGGGTTGAGAGTATAGGGTTTCGGGTTTAGGGTTTAGGGTTTAGGGGTTTTAGGGTTTAGGGTTTAGGGTTTAGGGTTTAGGGCTATAGGGTTTTCGGG